TCTTTCATTATGATAACACTTATACATAATTAATCTATAATGTATAAGATACGAGCTGGCCCGACAGACGTTTTTTGCCCTTTCCAGTAGGTGGCGCGATGATTTTTACACAAAATTTACGGACTTTTACGGTGTAAATAATTACGACCACAACGCCACATATGAGATTTTGTAAATTTTCCTTTTTGCCACTATATGAAAAAAAAATATTGTGAATATGAGTCATTTTAGTCCATAAATATAAAATTGAAAACTACAAAACAAAATATATTATGGTAATGTTACCGCAATCGGTCAAGCCGTTCAAAAGTTACAAGATAATAAAGATTAATGTAAAAGGCATCAGCTTATTGATAACGTTACAACCTATTAAAGTCCACTGCTGAACATAGACCTCCCCATAGATTGCCTCATGGGGGGGATGTTTGCCATAGTTGCCATGCTAGCGGCAAGCGGGTTGGCAACTGCAGTTTTTTTATTATTTTGCTTTGTTATCTGGTCTTATTGATAACACGATATCAAATGTCAAACGTCAAAACAAAGCCACCCGCGAATTACACCTGTTACACAGTCCCACTGTCGGATAATACAAATCAGCATAATTAAACCTCGATTTTCAATCAGCCGGCATTCTGGGAATGGCCTACGTTAAGAATTCAAATACCTTCACAGCTCCTGGCCTAATATCGCCATAATTATCGATTATCACAGTAGTGTCAAAAGTTGTTTTAGTCGGTTGGTTTTTCATAAACGCAGGATCTGATTAAGATTCGAACACAGAACTTAAAATACATTAACTAAACACTCGTCATCACAGTCCATAACAAGTCTATAAAAAATCTCAGAGTAAATGATGTGGCGCTTTAAAATTCTACTGTTTATATTGTCAAAATACTAACACTAGTAGTGGCTCTACGTTTAAAAGTCAGGTAGTTTAACAGGATTACGAAGCAAAATCCCCGACACTTTCAAACAAATCCAATCAACCAGTCAAAATATGTCAAAACCGTCGAAAATATTTGCACATTTAAATGGTCCCTAGAGAGCAATGAACTTGCAGTATTTAACGGAGGGTCTTTAAAACTAACCGACTAGAAAAGGGTTCGGATCATAGTTAAAAATATTGAACAATAACAGCTTTGTTTAGAACTAAAGTATTTAAATGGATTATTTTAAAGCGCCCGCTTCTAGTTCTTTTTAGTTTTAATAAATAATTAAGAATTTAAATAGCTTATGAAATTCCTTCATAAACAGATTGACAGAGTACACTCAAAATATTAATTTACAGGCAATTGAAGGTGAAATAAAGATGTATTACAGGTAGAATCTATAATTTAATTTCTCTACGTGGTAGAGCCATGCTGTAGCTATATTATGGTTGTAGCACGAATGGCTCGGCTTGAACGGGGAAGGACCACGCTCTCACAGAAAACCAGCGTAAAATAGCAGCTTCACACTGCTGTGTTCCGTATGGTGAGTGTAGAGAACCGGATACCCTTTTTACTGGCAAAGAGGCATTCCATCTTAGTCCTCACGGGTGACAACGCATCTGCATCTTGAGTCTTTATTGAGGATAGATGTAGATGTCTATAGGTCACAGTAACCACTTACATCTTATAAAAAGAAATATAAATATTTTAGACGATAAAGTTAATTTGTGAAGAATTGCAAAGTCCATTACCGATCGTATCTTGTGAAATATTGCAAGCATTTAATTCAGATTACCGATATTTAACGATTAATTTCATTTAATTGAGTGGACGTAAACCAAAATAAGAGATAAGCACATTTTATTCTCAAAATTAAAATGATACGTACCGTTAAAGTTCTTTGTTTTATCGAAGCTTTAATGTATAGCAATTAAAACGACATAAAAAATTAAACAGGCTTAAAACATCTTTCATTCATTTTCGGCTCGTACTTGCAACTACAATAGTACACTAGTAGATACGGACTGTTGCTGTGAGAAATGGCGTATGCAGTAATAGATAACTCACGTTTTAGATGTTCCTGGTTATTAGTAAGGGAGAAATATAGGGGATGGAGTTTTAATGTAACTATTTAGATGACATTTTAGATGTTACCTTGAATTTGTGGTATTCAATAGTGCACTTACCTTCTGAAGTCGTAGCTTTAATATAATTATTATAGCTCCGACTTCAGAAGATAACATAATAACCATAGGCAAAACTATCGAAAAGATTTTTTCTAAATGATAAATGACGGTAAGAGTGGCATTTGGTGCTAATGCGGTACAAAACAGCTTGTGGCTTTTTCCGTAGGTAAATTCTTCAATACCTCCCGCAGTGGAGCCACATTAGGTAGCAGCGTCTTCCTGATAATAACTCAATAACAATAAACATATTTTTTATACATGGTAGAGCCATACTGCAGCTATATTTCTGATATAGTTGTAGCACGAATGGATCGGCTCGACCGGGGAAGGACCACGCTCTCACAGAATACCAGCGTCAAATAGCAGCTTGATGCAGCTGTGTTTCGTATGGTGAGTGTAGAGAACCGGAGACCCTTTTTAGTGGAAACGAGGCATTCCATCTTAGACCTCACGGGTATCAACGCATCTGCATTTTGATTTGTAATCGAGGATAAATGTAGATGTCTATGGGCCACAGCAACCACTTACCATCAGGTGGACTGTGTGCTCGTTTGTCACCCTTATCCTATAAAAAAAATATTATTCGATACGAAGTAGGACTCCTCTTCTGCCAAGATGTCCGCCTGGAAGGTACCACTCTCTTACATCTTTCTGCCACCAATAGCAGTGTTAGAAGTTCTTTGTTCCTGTCTGTAAGATAAAGAGAACCAGTAAATACAGGTTGTAATACATATATTATATCTTTAGGCTGCATTGGCTGCAAAAATAGCTAGCGTTCCGCTACTTATTTTTTTACGCTCTCATTCACCCACCGAAAATGCAGCCTTAGTCCTGAAGTGATAATGCATCTGTGGCCTTCTTTGTAAAAAGTGTGCTCCAGGTGTCCATGGACTAGTAGTCACAATCAGGTGGACTGTATGTTCATTGTTCTTTTAGTTTTATCAATATACTATAAAGTAGCCCGTTTGCGACCTTATTATGAATTGTAACGTTTACGGCATTTTTAGTTTCTAATAAACTAATTACAAAAATAGGGCGGTAATCAAATTGAGAAGAAGAGTAGATAGTGCTCTATAATCGATGAAAAGAACTTTATGTTCAATTCAAACCATGGCCATAACGTCAACGTAAAAGTAACACTGAAATCTTAAAGGAGTATTTTAATAAACAATGTGTTAGGATATATTATTTTGTTGTTGTATAACGTCTTTCGATCTGTATGTAATTAGGTATGTGTATATGATAATCATCATCATCATTACAGCCTTTTATAAGTCCACTGCTGAACATAGGCCTCCCCCAAGGAATGCCACAAAGCATGGTCCTGAGCCGCCTGCGTCCATCGAATTCCTGCATGTCTTACCAGTTCGTCACTCCATCTCGTGGGGGGTCGTAGATGATAATATTATGATGTATTTTTCTAAAGGCTGAGAAAATCGAGTTTTCTTTAATATATCGATTTCACTTAACGATCGCATGCATAGTAAAATCAAAATGTTATATTAATTCATATTACTGATATTTTATTTATATTGCTATTAAAAGCAAAACATTAAGCTATTTTTTAGGGTAACTCATGTGACTTGTTATTTTTTTAAAAATGAGGGATATTTAGAATATAGAATAGATCGAAACATCAAAGTCGTAGTAGATGGTAAATGCTTCAAATACAAGCGGATTAATAACATATTATTAATCCGCAAACCATTATAACATTAATTGTTGTGCGTACAATACTCGTAGCACTGGTGGTGCTTGTTACAGCGGCCTTGCCAATATTTCTCGGGAACACATCGTCGAGTACCGGGATAAACTTGTGTCTGAAATCCCACTCCCGCGCTTTTTTTATTGGTATACTTTTTATACAAGGGCATGAAAAATGTATATTTTTAATTTGATATTAATATCGTGAAAACCTAGCTCTCGATTTATAATAGTTATATTTCTTTTTAACTAAACCATTCATCATAAAAGACTGTAATAAGTCATAAAAGTCTAAAAAGAAGAATTTGTCTATCAGTTAACGCTTATTGAAAGCTTAATGGATTATAGTGGCCTGTCATAAGAAAAGTTGCATACACGTTGCTAATTTTTGATCTGAAGGCAGTTTATATCGCAAGATTGTATAGTAAATTTTATAACGCACTGTAATAAAAAGTATGGTGAAAATTTTAGTATAGACTTGAAGATACAGTACAGGGACTACAAGTACATTATAACTTCACAACTTAGGAATAAGCTTGCCAGTCATGAAAGATACAACGAAAAATATGTGCAATTAAAACAATATATTACATTTTCATAATCAGGAATCAAAACTCCTCTTTATTGATAGCGCCCATGTATCTGACTAGAGAAGTACAATGTCATTCATAAATAATCATCCTTTACAATACTTATCACATTAAAATACTATCTATCTTACTTACCAAGTAAATAGGAACCATTTTATATTATTTTATATACAGATATTTTAAATTATTTGGCAAGTCTAATACAAAATTATAACTATGTGATTATAAATAACTTCCAAATACTCTTACCAAGTCAAAAATAACGCTATTACCTAAATTTACTTCAAAATAGTTTTAGCAACGAGCTTAAATAGGACAAAGCTGGTCACAAAAATAGTTTACAATAACAGTGGTGGTGGGAAAATCACTATTATTATTTTTAAAAGTTGTTATTTTTATAACATATAGGTATATGTTATAAAAATAACAAAATAATCTTAATAATATAATGAATTAGTTATGATATAAAGATACAATTATTTACATTTTTATTTATACGTCTGTATAATCAATTTATACTTTTTAATTGTCATTTTATAGTCAAAATAAAGTATTACAAGAAATAAACAAATATTAAAATGAGTGTTCTGTCACATTTTTTGAATAACACTCCCGTAAGGAGGCATCAAGCAATGTTGAGGTATATTACCTGTCAAATGGTTTAAATTCGGTGATGTTCTAGTGTTTAAATGGTAGTTTGAATACTCGCTTACATTAGGCATTTGTTGTCTAGTTTCCATGTATTCAGGAATGTTTCCTAGCTTAGTTACGCTCATGTCTTCAACTCCGTACGGGTCCGGTGAGGTCGACAACTTTCCATCTTTCTTCGCCTTCATCCTTCGGTTCTGGAACCAAATTTTTATTTGTCTTTCTGTAAGGCCAAGAGCGTGAGAAACCTCTATCCGACGTCTTCTTGATAGATATTTGTTAAAATGGAATTCTTTTTCTAGTTCTAGCGTCTGGAACCGGGTGTATGTTTGTCTTGTACGCTTTGATCCCTCTTTCTTGTCATCGCCTAAAAAAAGTAATTTAATTAGCAAAATAAAACATTGCCAAGGCATTACATATGCTCATTACTTTACGATACCTAACAAATACAATGAAATTATTTTACGTACCACTTGCGCTTTTCATCCATGGGTAAAATGCTTGTACATCTGGTGCAGCGGCCATTTTGTTTTCACTATAATCTGCATTGTCCCCGCCTGCATTGACCCTTGTCATATCCTGACAGGTCTCTTTAGTACCTAGAGATGACTGTGCGCTCTCTTTTGCAAAAGGCGCCACACCCACGGCGTTTTTGCCTGTAGTTTTCGTTTGATCCTCCACGATGTTTTGAAATTCACCATGAAATTGATTTAAATTTTTATCCACATCTGTGATTTCATTTCTCTTCCAATTACGAATATCGGTTGTGCGAAATCTTTGCATCGATTCTTGGTTGCACGAATTATCATTACCATAAAACGGTTGAATTTTTTTATCAACTCTCTGGGTTAAGAGTGCTCTTAAGTTAGGTGAATCTTCTTCCTCGGGATTAGCTAATTTTACTGCGCTTGAAGTACTGCGTGGTGATCCGTAGCTAGCCTCTGATAAGCTGCACTGACCGGGAGAATCAACTGAACGAATATCTTCACATTTAGATTCATAGCACGCATTCCCGGAATTTCTTTGATTAATCCCATAACTATTATTATGTTGCGCATAGTAATTCATTTCTCGCCATTTATTAATCATTTCTATATTCACGTGATTGCCATAGTCCGAAGGATAGTTGTGCCAATTAACCGGTTCGGATTTCACAACACTATTGTTAGGATTATGTGATGATTTATTTAGATGATCCGTGTTTTGTATCTGAGAATATTCACTAGTTTGCGGATAGTAATTGTTTTGATATTGATGATATTGCATCGTAGGATATTGATAACTATGACTATGGTTTGCTTGACGTATACTTTGTGAGTACAGGTCTACACTATTGGTCCACATATCATTAGCACGATTACTTGCAGCCACTGATGACATTACGCTTTCGCCAACTTAGACTTATTTACACTCACATGCACTGATTCTAAAAATATTAACACTGACACTGGACGGCGTGGGAGGTGTTCTGTCTGCTGTGTAGACTGCGAAACGAATGCAGTAAGTGCCAGCAGGCGACACGACCCTACAATTGTAATACTTTTATGTGACCTAAAAAAAGTTTTGGGGTACTTTTAACAATAGCGTCGCCATTGTCCCTTTGCAAGTTGTAAAACCGGTATCCCTATCCCTTTCTAATATTGCCGCTAATAATTTTAGCTAGTAAGTGTGACAGAGATAGATATTATTTAGGGGAATAGATTGCAAATATCCTATAAATGTTTACAATGCCAATATTTTCAATAGTTATGTATGTGTGGAACTGTGCGCCATATAGGTACGAGGAAATCATTGATTGATTTGGAGATGTGCGAGTGTGAGAGGGTGGTATAGATTGATTTTATTCTATTATTGGTTTAGTGTAAAGCCGCGTATGTGTATCACTGTGTTGAAGTTGCATTTGCGTTTATATAGGCTGATCAAAAATTATCATTTTTATTATTTATGTACTTATAACATTAATAAAAATAAGTCATTTTTGACACCTACATACGTGAAAGAGATTTAATATTATTTATATTATAGTCGGTAATAAACTAACTGTAACCAAATTACTCAAAGAGTCTTGTGCCTGTTTTTATTTTGAGGCGCTAGGTTTAGCCCAGCTTTAGCCATAAAAATGCTTAGGTTTTCGAATAATGTATTCTTTTCTTCGAACATATTATAACCTTAAGTAAAAGCGCATCACTGTGTTTTTTATAGAACAAGTAAGTGTGTGCTGTGGCCCATAGACATCTACATTTATCCTCGACTAGCTGTGCCCCGCGGTTTCACCCGTGTCATCACGTGTCCGAGGTGCGCGACATGACCTAGTTCAAGCATTCTATAACAGCTAGGGTTTAAGCGTCGTTCGCGCGCCCAGCCAAGTATTGAATTATTATAATTTTACATTATCTCTTAAACTATGCGTCCAAATAACATGGTATAGGGAACAAAATTTATCTTCATAAAATTTTCTTGATGATGAAGTAACTTTCGTTCGTAAGGATAAATAGGCCATGCCTAATAATAACGTTCATATATCACTTTTAAATTTTCAATATTTTTTGTCACAAAATACCAAACTATGGCTTATGTATAAGAAATAGACATATGGTATCGCGGACTTTTTTTTAGACGGAGTAAAGGTCTATATTTTTCTAGAACATTGTATTTACGTATCCCTAATGATAACACCAGCGTACACGGATAAATCATTTCGGGAGTGCTTTTTCTTCTGACTTGCTTAACAAATATCCATATTTAAAGTTAGCTGAGTGATATAGCTTAATGCTAGATAACCTATACTATTCCACATGAATCTGGCATATACAAAAATAATTTTTCAAATCGGGCTGGTAGTTCCACAGGTTAGCGCGTTTAAACAAACAAAAAAACAAAAAACTCTTCCGCTTTATTATATTAATAAGTATAGATTAAGAATCAAAATGCAGATGCGTTGTCCCCGCTGTGAACTAAGGTAGAATGCCTCATTTCTAGTAATAAGGGTCTCTATACAATACGTAACACAGCAGCTTTAAGCTGCTATTTTACGCTGATATTCTGTGAGAGTGTGGCCCTACACCGTTGGAGTTGACTCATTCATGCTACAACCATAAAATTGCTGCAGCGTGGCTCTAGCACGTACTTGTATGCGTAAATGTGACTTTATCTGAAATAAGTGTCCTTAGATTTATTCTTATTTCTTAAATTGGTACGTTATACGGTTCATAATAAATATAATATAATCACCTACATATAATTAAATATACCTAATTTAACGGATTTTATCGCATTTAATTTAATAAAAATAAAAAGAAGTTAAGTTAACGCGATAAAATCCACAAAAGCAGTTTTATTCACTGTGTAGTGTTCATGTGAAAGTAATATATATGTGAAATCTTTACCCACATATAATATTCAAAAATTAAGGTTACAGCCTATATATACCCATACTCTCTTACTCCGGATTCCTCTTATTTCTGAGGCTGTTATGGAAAAATTTATCCACCGCGCTATTCCAGTGCGTACTGACGGACTTCATATTTCCTCGAAATATTTTATTCCTAAGACATGCAGGTATCCTTACGATGTTTTCCTTCACCACCGAGCACTGGATAAATCATCAATAAAATTGCAATTAACTATTTCATTAATTGTCGTGAAGCGACAATTAAAAAAAAATTGAACCTAACCTAAGTACAACAAAACAACAAAAGTAGAGCCCGAAAACAATATATTTAAATTTTAAAAAGGTATTTACAATTTTATAAAAAAATGAAATGAGGATGATGATGAATGAAGTGAGAGTACGATTAGATTACAAAAAAAATAAAGGTAGGAGAATAGGGGAATATAGAGTTGTAGTGGAGCCTAAAAGTCGAAGCGACACACGTTGCGCTTGCAGAGGTAGGTTTCTTAGCAGCGACGGCACGCAGCGCCTGGAGCCAGCACACGCCGGTTGCGCTTGTAGAGGTAGGTTTCTTAGCAGCTACGGCACGCAGCGCCTGGAGCCAGCACACGCCGGTTGCGCTTGTAGAGGTAGGTTTCTTAGCAGCGACGGCACGCAGCGCCTGGAGCCAGCACACGCAGCGTCCGGAGCCGGCGCACGTAGCGCCTGGAGTAGGTGCGCTGAACGCTTGGAGCCAGCAGTTGCAGCGCCCAAAGGTAGCGCCGGCGGTAGGTGCACTCGGCGCCTGGAGTAAGCAGTCGTAGCGCCCGGAGTAGTGTGGCCCCCGCGCTTGAAGTAGACTGCCGACGACTTCCGAGGTAGATGGAGGCTTGTAGGATTCCGGAGTGGTGCGGCTCCGCGCTTGAAGAAGGCTTCGCCGAAGACTTCACGTGTAGGCGGAGGCTTGCAGGATCCCGGGGCAATGCGGCCCCGGGATAAGGCCTTTAGAAAATATTTCTTATTTGAGAACTCAAGCGAGACTGCCTGTCTTCACCGATTGTTCGGCTTTTATACCTTTCTAGAGAGAACGGAAAAATTATTTAAATTAAACGCAAATTTTTTGTAAATGGTCAAGAGAAAAGAGTATTTATGTGGAATTATCGAAATAGGAACAACAGATCGGTAGCAAATTTGAATATAATTACTATGGAGACCAAATAAACAACAATGTCAAAACATGTCAAATTTTAGTGTTAGGCTTGTAATAAGAAAACGGCAAGATTTAAGTGGAAAATGAGATATTATTGATATAGGAAAAAAGGTAGAGCAACTGCCCACACAAAGCCCGAAATTGTAGAGTTACGGAAAACTAACTAAAAGATCGAAAAAAAGGTAGACTCCATTGACACCAATTTAAAAGTGCTGATAATGTGAAAATACGAAGTAGAAATGATTTGTTATTGTGTTCTTATGGTTTAAAATCGTTACAGGATCCTATGGAAATAAAGGTGATGTAAAATATCCAGTTTTGAAGTGAATGCAGAAAATCGAAACAGAATGGAAAAATGAATTTAAAATAATGTAAAATGATAAGTAAGTAGCATAACACTACATAATGCCGGCGGAGATCGACTCCGGGTGGCTCGAATATGCTTGCGTATTGTGAACCATACGGCAAGCGCTTAGGCCCAAGGCTACCAATGTTCTTTCATCCCTTCTGACATATATATGGTCATCGATTACAGCCTTTTTTTATAGAATATGGGTGACAAAGGAACACACAATCCACCTGATGGTAAGTGGTTGCTGTGGCCCATAAACATCTACATCTATCTTCGTCAGCCGTGAGGACTAAGATAAAATGCCTCTTTTCCAGTAAAAAGGGTCTCCGGTTCTCTACGCTCACCATATGAAACACAGCAGCATTAAGCTGCTATTTTACGCTGGTGTTCTGTGAGAGTGTGGTCTTTCCCAGGTCGGTCCGACCCATTCATGCTACAACTATTCCATTAATATAGCTTCAGCATGGCTCTACCACGTATAAAGCCTATAAAATTCTATTGCTAAAGATAGGCCTCCTCAATAAGTTGTCCCAGAGAGGAGATTTTGACATAGTTGCTACACTAGTCAGGCAACAGGTAATCATACTTATTTATTCTTCTCTTAATATATTACTTACTCTTCCCGTCAAGTACCTATTTTTCAAAGCTAGAGCAAGCAACAAACAAGAGTGTACAATCAATATATGTTGGGTACGACACTACCAGTCCAGAACATTTCTTCATATTATTATTATATTATTCTTCATATTTCTTCTATACAGCCGACCCATTGCCACTTCAGCTTACTAATCAGGTAGGCTATGAGAGTTACTGTGGTTATACTGTGGATATGTGCGGATATATGGTATATATGTGGATATATCGTGTTATCAGGCAGATACACTTCGCGTATACCTCTCTATAGCTTGCTGAGCGAACTTTAGGTTCCTCATACGGCCAGCGACGAAGGACCGTCTCAGATCTATTTAACATCATTGGTATCATGCATTGGTTTTATATATATATATATATATATATATATATTTATATATACATATACATATATATATATATATATATATATATATATATATTTATATATATACATATATATATATATATATATATATATTTAAAAAAATTGAATTAGGGTGACAAACGAGCACACAGTCCACCTGACGGTAAGTGGTTGCTGTGACCCATAGCCATCCAAATCTATCCTCGATTACGAATTAAAATGCAGATGCGTTGTCAGCTGTGAGCCGTGACACAGGTAACATAAACACACTCTTGCTTGTTGTTTAAAGATTTGAGAAATACTTTACGAAAAAACCAAATAATACATTTATGAGAAGAATAAATAATTAATTTATCTATTCAACATAATCGTTGTGTTATTTCCTGCGGAAACCAATCGTGTAGTGGCGGTGTAAGAATATCCACTTGTCCATATCATCCCGTGAGTGTCG